GTGCTGTAGATGGGGATAAAGTCCCTGTGGTGCGCATGAGGAATATATTGAGAAAAATGGTCTGGTTTAGTCCTGCACCAGGCAAAGGTAAAGGGAAACCCATCCACGGGATTGCTTTTGCCCAAGGACCTGGGTGCACCTGGTGGGTGATGCAGGACAATGGAGAGGTCCAATGCTACCACAGGGGAACTTGATTCTGGGTGAGAACATGCCGTGAATTATGCTGTGCCTGTGTAAATTGTTATTTTGTTATTGTTAACTGCTAAATGGCAGCTGGACATGACACAGATGGTATAGAATAAAGGGGTGGATGTCCTGGTTCAGCTAGGATAGGGTTGGGTTTCCCCAGCAGAGAGAGAGGGGGAAGGGATCTCCAGCTGGGTTATTCATACCATGCTGGCGTCAGGTCCAGGCGCGGGAGCGCAGGAACTTTTTCCTTTGTAGCTTTGGTTGCGGGGAGCATGTGAACGAGCTGTCTGTAACCATTTGTGGTATTTCTCTGTATATCTTCTGTCTTGTTTACTGTTATTACTGTTTATCGCTGTTATCATTTCTACAGTTGTTGTTCAGATTGCTTATTACACTGTTGTATTAAATTTCTCCATATTTTACCCCGGGTTTGTGCCTCACTTCCAGCCTGACTGGCTGAGGGTGGGGGAAGGGCAACGGCAACGTGGTCTCTGGTCCTGGCAGGGCTTAAACCACCACAATAATACTTCAACTCATAGTTTTTATATGTTTCATGTCTGTTGTTTTGCCAGTTTGAATTAATGTAAGTGCTCTTTTTTATTTAGAAAGACATTTTTTATGTTTAGCACTATAAATGATATCTGCAAATATCACGTTTTCAAAACTGTTGCTTGACTATATTGGCACTTCCCAATGTACAGCCTTTAAAAAATTTGGCCTCAAATTCTCCTATCTAGGCCAGATCTTTAAGTAGTGGCTTCACTTTTGCATGTGTCAAGGTAATAACCATACAGTAAAAATAGATTATAATGTGTATATGAGAAGCACTAAGTTATTTACTTTAGTGAGAACAACCATAAATTTAAACAAATGGTGATTTGTCTCTGTATATTATGTATATATAGACATATATACAGTTCTTATCCTATTCTTTCACATACACCATTTCATTGCGCTTAAAATCTACAACTTACATATAACAAAATATCATCAGTGCTAGGTTCTTCTAGCACTTAGTTTCCAAAATACTTGCTGTTTCACAGGTGATAGAGGGTAATTAATTTGCTCATGCAGTTTCTTTCCTTCTTTTGATAGTGCTAAGGCTCCATCTGCCACCAGATGTCTTTTTGCCTGACTGAGATGTTCCTGTGGTCTTTGAAGACTAACTTACATATTAGAGGTGAGCTGTTACCTGTTACTAAAAGAAAACAGCAAAGCTTACTGATGAATGTTAAACCAATAACAAAACTCTGAATACCCAAATGAAGTGGGTTTTATACTCAAGAGAAAGAAAATTAGGCAGCAATACGATGTTTGAATGCAGTCAGCTTTTTCGCTGATCTCATCATAGAACTGGAGCATCCTTTCAAGTAAAAAAATGTTAAGATTGTATTTAATTGGATGCATTTTCCTTTTTAGGAAGCTATGTCCTACTTGACTGTAAGTTTCAGTCTAATGACTAGTTAGTTTGGGTGAATGAAGATCTATAGTCAAGTGATCTGCAGAGGCATTGTGATTTGTACTTAGCATGAAAATAAAAAAAAATACTGCATGTTCTGTGTGTTTTGCATGATTACTTGATATTTTATACTTACAAGAATATATTTATCTCATTAACTGATTTTTCCAGGAGACACAGGACTAATTACTAGCCACATAGAAATAACCTTCATTCATCTTACCTTGCTATTGGTAAAATATCATACCAAAAAACCCCCACTGGTTTATAAGTTGACCATATCAAAATATTATTTATGGCAATTTATGCCAATTCTAATGTACAATACTTTTGTTGAAATATTATTTTGAATATTATTGTCAATTTAATTGAATATGGATGAACATTCAGTTGAATGTTATTATTCAAATATTGTCTCAATATGTCTTGGCATCCCATCTTTGTGTGAGAACTGTAACAGAAACAATTTAAAAAGTCAAAAGCTATATTTCATAGAAAAGTCTGATGGTTTAAGTAAACACATAGCTCTGATTTATTGTAACTGAAGGTGTACTGTGGCCTCCTGTGCCTATTTTCTGCTTTTGACCTTCTTGCTTCCTCTCTGTCCATTTATTCATTGCCTACAACATCATTCTAAAATTCTGAGGCAGAAGGGAGGACTGCTGTCTTGTTTTAAAAGCTGCCTGCCATTGCAGTGCCTTCCTACATGCCTCCGTGTAAGGAATTTCTCCCCATGATATATCCCTGTCTAAGTTTAGAAGGGACGGATGTGGTGCCAAACTAATTATTTTAAAACAATGCAACTTAAAGCCATACTTACATCTACTTGGTGGAGCTTGCTGTGGCACACCAAAGTATTTACAAGTCAGCCACATCAGGAACTGCCTGGTGTGCCTGGAAGTCCCAAGGTACCTGAAACATCTGAATTTCTTTGCCATGGGAACCAGGTAGATGATGATATTTACGGATTAAGAATATTGGATCCTTTGAAAGGGCAGCTTTATGAGTTCACGAATCTTAATAAAATCCTGTTGTCTTTAGCTCAGCTATGGCAGTCATCAGAAAACATTTTAAGTTATTCTAAGGTATGCTTTTCATCATGATCCTTACTTTTCCTTGTGAAAGAACACAAAAGATGCTGGTTGGGAAGGTGGTAAGAATACTTCTGCATGTTGGCAGCTGGAAGGGAGTTGAAGTGTTTGTGGAGGAAAGCTGCTTCAAATAAATGTAAGGACCCATCAAATTCTTCTTCAGCCCCTTGCTTGCTGGTTCTTGAAAGTCCTACTTGTATTCAGACTATCTGCTGTAGTTTTTCTACTGTCACCTATATTTTAACATTTAATGCTGTGCTCCGGCTAGTAAAAATTGAGATGCTGAACTTGGCTTGCTAAGTTGTGTTTTGTTTCCAGTGTCACATCTGTAATTATATTTACATTCAATTGTACAGATGAAGATATTGGCATCCACCAGTACTACGACAAGAAAGAACCAGGTAAAATATAAGTAACTGTAACTAAAGCTACTAAAACTTCCAAATGTTCAATCTTTTACACCAGCTGCTTTCTCTGGAAAATGCAGCTTTGAATTTCTTGTTAATATGTGTATTTCTGTGGAGTAAGGAGGCACAGAGAGTCTCTCAAGTTACGTCAGGATATTAAAAAGTGTTTTATCGCCCATAAAGAAAAAAACCTGGTCACGTATTTACATGAACCCAACCTCTGTGTCCTTGGACACCTCGGTGGGATTCTGTGCTCTTAAATCCTTGCGTTTCCTGTGGCATTTCCCAGACTCTCCCGACACCGCTGCGAGGGGCCGGGCCGGGCCGCC